CCCCCTGCCAAGCCGCGGGATTTGTTGTGTCTGAACCACCCGAGGCTCCAGGAGCCTCCTGAAATCCTCCGGGAAGGAGCTCCCCTCCCCCCCCCGGTGTCTGTTCCATTATCCAGCCGTCAGTCTAAATCTGCCCTGCTGCTTGAAGCCCTTTTCCCTTCATCTCTTTCCCAGCAGGACTGTCACCTCCCGCCACTCGGCTGTGCCGGGGGCTCGACCTTTCGGCTTTCCATTGCTTTTTCTGCAGCAGCCTCCCCTTGCTGGGGCAAGCTGCTCTTTAGCCGGCGCCTATGGTAGGGGAGCCGCGCTCACTTTCAAAAGCCGCAGGCCCTGGTGCGGAGACAGACACGAAGCTGGTCCTTTGACTCGGTCGTAACTGGCTGTTTATTAAGTATTTCTGTGTTGCCGGGAGATATTTTATTTCTTTAAAAAATCATTTTCAAATCTGCCTGCATCAGGCCAGACTCATTTAGGCTCCACAGCTGAAATCTTGGCCACAGCAAATCACCCACTGACTCCCATGGGGCTAGGCTGTCAGCCCTGGATCCTTACGCTAAGGTGCCTGGGTTTGAACAATTTGGTCCAGGTACGTAAAAGCAAGGCCCCGTCCTGTGTTTCAAACTGCTCTAGGCTGCTCGGACTGGAGCATGCGAGGGGAGCTGGGCTCGGCACAGGCGTAACTGGGCGCAGATCTCGGAACTGGGACGTACAAGGGGTGAGAGTAGCTGATCCAGTTGCCTCCACGAGAGCCAGCCTGTGATGTGATGCTCCAGGTGGAGAGCTGCAAATGCACCAAGGCGCCCAGGACTAGAAGAGCTGCCGACGTGGCGGACGTGTGGTGGCGCCCGCGTGGCACACGCTTGGATGGCCAGGGTGCACGTTTCACTGAGCAATGGTTTTATTCCCCGGTGCTGACTCCAGCCTGCGCTCACTTCATTGAGGAGGCGTTGTCCAGCCTGGCAGGAGTGTAGGGCAGGTGGCTTTTTGCTCCAGAAAATGTTTCTTCTATTTCGGTGACGTAGGTTCACATAACGCGGGTTTTCACCCAGGGCACACTCGGACTCTTGCTGTGAGCGTGTTCTCGGAGCTCTTTGGGAAGAAGTAGACTGTGCTCCCCCAGACAGGTCTGTGCAAGGGCAGTGGAGACGCCGGGTCGCGCAGGCTGGATTCCCACACTCGTTTCTCTCTCTAGACTGTTGCCGTGTATAACTGGAGGTCGGGCGTGATGCTGGAGAAGTTCATGGGACACCAGCGGGAAGTGACTAAGGTAAATATCAGACTGGCCAAAGGGCAGGGTGAGTCTAGTGTGGATCCCCGACTTCTGTCAAAGACAAGGGTGGGTGACCGGTCACCCTCACCAACGTCAGCTGCGTGACTCTCAGTCGGCAAGGAAGGCAGGGAACCGGCCGGGTACCCTGGAAGCTGCCTTAGGCCAGGTCTACACTAAAGGGGAAGGTTGAATGAAGATGCACAACTCCAGCCATGTTAATTACGTAGCTGGAGTCGACGTACCTTCATTCCAGGTTCTGTGCGGTCTCCACAGCCATAGGTCGACGGGAGGAAATGCTCCCATTGGCTTCCCTTACTCCTTGCAAGGAGCAGGAGTATTGGGACCAACAGGGTCACCCTGCGTTTGATTTAGCGGGTCTTTACTAGACCTGCTAAATCACACTCCAGAAGATCAATCACAGCCTTGTCTTCACTACTGGGAGGAGCGAGAGTGTACTGCGAGCTGGAGGAGAGGTCAGACGGGGAGAATGGGGAACAGGGGACTGGGAGCCAATTGGTAGGAGAGGAGGGGAACACAGATTACAGGGAGCTAGTTCAGGGCTACTCAACTGTGGAAGCCCCGGGGGCCACAATGATACTCACAGCACATGCCGAGGGCTGCACCTTAAGTACGGTTGCATATACATGCAAATATATGCAAATATCTTCTTTCACAATGACGGGCATGAATACAAAGATTAAGGCCAGACGACACAACACGCAGGCACCACTGAAGTCAGTTCTGCTGATATCACTAAAATGCAGCATTCACCCTATTCCCGCCCATGTGACAGCGCTAGTAACAAGCAACGACAGTCCAGGAACTGATCTGCTAAAACACAGCTCAGCCCAAACCGCACTGCGGGCCGCGTGCTGGGTCGTCCTGAGCTTGGATTTCACATGGGACCTGGAGGGGTTTCCTCATTGGGATCAGGTTTGCAGAAGTGCTGGGCAATCCCAGCGGGACCGGCGTGCCTGGGGCTGTGCTGCGGACACAGGCGGTCAAGCAACGACAGTCCAGGAACTGATCTGCTAAAACACAGCTCAGCCCAAACCGCACTGCGGGCCGCGTGCTGGGTCGTCCTGAGCTTGGATTTCACATGGGACCTGGAGGGGTTTCCTCATTGGGATCAGGTTTGCAGAAGTGCTGGGCAATCCCAGCGGGACCGGCGTGCCTGGGGCTGTGCTGCGGACACAGGCGGTGCTATTGACTGCCGTGGCTGCTGCAACCCAGGTCCGAAGTGTCTCCGATTGGGCACCTGGAACGGGAATGTTTTGTCCTCAGTATTTCTCGGGCCCGGTGCCCATCTGTCCATTGGGGATAGTCTCGGGCCCTCTCCTTCCGGGGGCGCTGTGGGGATTAGTGCTGGTGGCGAGCGCCGGGGAAAGCCCGGGAAAGCCAGGAATGATTCTCGTGCCAGGGTGGGGGGTGGCCACCCTGGAACGCAGAAGAAGGCAAACCCTTCGTCAGTGGCTCATTCCGTGAGCACGTGACTCGGCTCCCTTGCCTCCCAGGGCACTGTGGCACGCGAGCACACGCTGGCCCCCTCTCGGAGGCGAGTGGTCCTCGGCCCGGCAGGGGGCCCGTGGCGCAGCCGGGAGCAGAGCTCTGAGGAGACCACAGACCTGCTGCGCTTCTGGGGCTGAGGACTGGCTCTCGCGTCTCTCTGTGCTGGGCAGGTGGCCTGTGCCTTGCAGTCGAGCCGGATTTTCAGTGCCTCCCGGGACAAGACCGTCATGATGTGGGAGCGGCACAGGAGTCCGGGGCCGAGCCAGCGCTTCCCAGGACACGACTTGGTTGTCACTGGCCTGGCAGTGAGCCCAGGTGAGGCCCGGCTGACGCCGGCTGCAGTCGAGCTGGCTTCTCGGCCCGCTCTGACCGAGCCCTTGTGTCTGCAGACGCCTCTCAGCTGTGCACGGGCTCCCGGGACAACTCCCTGTGGTGGGAGCGGCACAGGAGTCCGGGGCCGAGCCAGCGCTTCCCAGGACACGACTTGGTTGTCACTGGCCTGGCAGTGAGCCCAGGTGAGGCCCGGCTGACGCCGGCTGCAGTCGAGCTGGCTTCTCGGCCCGCTCTGACCGAGCCCTTGTGTCTGCAGACGCCTCTCAGCTGTGCACGGGCTCCCGGGACAACTCCCTGTGCATGTGGGACGTAGAGACGGGGGCGTGCGGGCGCAGGGC